CACTGTGGAGAATTGATCATGGATCATAGGCACTGGGGGAACAGTGGAGGCAGGGAGACCAGTTAGGACAATATTGCAATGAGCAGCCCACATAAGAGTTGATGGAAACGATAAGCCTGGAGTAAGAGAGTGGCTGTGGGCTGGAGAGCATGGCAGATGTTCTGAAGATTTTGTTGGGCTAAAATTCCTAATTAAAGAACAATGTGCAAGGAATTCAATCAGGTGAATTGGCAGAGAGCAATCTCCTTAGAATATTGTTCTCATCTTGTATCATAGTGATTGTAGCTGTATTTATTCAGAATAGAAAGATCTTTATGGTCTCATTTCATGAGGTGTGCTGTATAACGTGGGTAACAGAGGCTGTTTTCTGGCTTACAGTTCGGAGCTTGAAAAATTAAGTCACACTACAGCACACTCAGATGTTTCCAAAAACGAAAATTGCAGAAGCACTTGACTTTCCAAGGCATCAGAGAATGATGAACTCTCAGAATTATTAAAAATCAGCTGCTTCCAAGATGCCAGTTGACACCTGAACTGGAGAAGTCTTGAGAAAGCCGTTGTGCTTACTTTGTTGAGGCCCATTTCTGGCCCCTCTTGCTGGAAACCTCAGGCACCCAGCCTCCCACACTTAAGTGACATTCAGAGAAACTGAGTATCCTGTTGTTATGCAAGTTCTGAAAATCAGTAGATCACACCAGAACAAAGGAAAGTTTGACTACCTAGACCAGGCGTCCGCAAACTACAGCCCGCCCGCGGGCCGCATGCAGCCCCCTGAGGCCATTTATCCAGCCCCACCCACCCCCACCCCGCAGCACTTCAGGAAGGGGCACCTCTTTCACTGGTGGTCAGTGAGAGGAGCACAGTATGTGGCGACCCTCCAACGGTCTGAGGGACAGTGAACTGGCCCCCTGTGTAAAAAGTTTGGGGACGCCTGACCTAGACCAATATGAGGTCACTTCAGGGAGTGTCTATATATTCCCTGAAGTATAAAGGTAAGTGTACTTCTTACCACCTTTATTTTAGAAAGGAAAGATTAGATGATGGTGGAGAAAACCTTTGTTTTTCACTTTTTCCTCTTCATGATACATGAATTGTAACATATATCTGACTTGTTTTCAGTGATAATTCAACTACAAAAATCATAGAATAATCTTTGTGATTGTTCTGTTAACAACGATAAAGTGTTTCCTTCATAGTTACTGCTTTGTGTTCTTGCAAATTAGATTAACTATTTAATACTGCTGGAGCCTCTGGATATCAAAATTTAAAATGTATTTCTCTCTTGAGAAATAAATTTCCACTGGGAAAATTTCCCAGTAACTGTTATTTCCTCTCATATGTATCCATTAATCTGTTAAGCCTAAGACAGTCAACAATTTAAACCAAGAGGTTTTTTAAATTAATGGGGTTGAATTTTTAAAAACCGCTGCTTGGTTACGAATTTCTCTCCACACAAACAAAACAATTTTACTGCCAAGTGAACTAAATATATCATCAGGGTATAAAAATCACTTTTTGTAGCAATAAATTTTAAAATTTTATTCACCAATACTTAGAACATAGAACTATATTAACATTTATACTTTATTTCATATTTGTTTTCAGTTTCCACCTTCAGACACTATTTTCTTTTTATTTATATTCATAGTTGCATGATTTTTTGTGATTGCTTATCATAAAATCAGTATGTTTGTTCTATTTTTATTTTTTTTAAATTACATATCCATAGGAAAAGGAACTTAGGAAATGTGTTCTCCGTTGAGAGATCTTGTTAAAAATCAACAGTAGCTCCTGAACAAATAAGAAAGAGACATTATAGTAAAAGGATTTTTCTTTATTTAAAAGAAAAATTTGATCATAATAAATGCCTCATGCACCCAGAAAGGAATTAGCTTTTTCTCCAACCCTAACATCCATCTACTTTCTGTTCAGATGTGTTCCTGTTTGGTAGACAGTGTGGCCAGTTAAGTTGTACTGCGAGTTCAATGGTCTTCTCTAAATATTTTCTCACATTTAATGATCCAAGATTAGAGAATTGTTACTTACTAGAAACTTTTTATAATTCAGGTGGCTCACCCATGTATAAATTATTAACACCATGTCCTCAACCATCATTAGAAATGAGCCAGCTTCACATCTTCATTCCAAGATGTCTTTCTCAGGAAAGCATATGTGCCTTTGATAGTCACTCTATGTAAACAGGCAGAGGGAATGGGAGTAAGTGTGTCACCCTGGGGCAATCAGAGTCAGTTTCCATAGAGAAAATTAGATTGGCCATATTTCATACTGCTAGAACCTCTTACCTGGTTTGGATAGTGAATTATATCTATAAAAAAGAATTCTCATGCTCTTGATTTTTAGATAATATATAGAAAACTCAATCATTTCACTTATGTAATTTCCATTTCTTCACATTTTATACTTTCAAATCCATCAGTTTACTCAGCTTAAATTACATTAGATTTTGTGATTCTAAAACTATAAAATTATATAGTCTCAACTTTCAATCATTTTTATCTTATGATACTCTTAAAGACCTCAGAGCAGTATTTTTGTACATGATCTTAGGAGAATATCTTCTGCCCTTTTTAGGCCCGATGTAGTCCCAGAGGCCATGTTTTAGAGAGGATAGTAAAAACAGGAAATCTTCACTGTACACCTAGGTCATCCAGACTCTGCCTGCTCTGTTGTTTCAGTCAGATTGGCATCGGGGAAAGAAGAGGAAGCATAAAATGTTAGTTTACAGGCAACACCAATTCAGCAGAGCAGTGAAAGTGAGATAAATAAGTAAGATGTGGCAGTTTAGGAATGTTCTCTGTCTGTCTTCTGAGAAGCTGCAAAGGCTTAGTTTGGTGTCCCTAAAAGCAGACCCTGAGATGATCATGTGTGTGAAAGTGGCTTGTTAGGTCATTTCCAGGAAAGATCAGTGTGTGTGTGTGTGTGTGTGTGTATGTGTGTGTGTGGTGGTGGTGGTGGTTGGGGGGAAGGCAGTGGGATAGAGAAGGAAAGGAAACCCAGCAAAGGTGCTGTATGAAGCAGGTCCTGAAGAGGGTAACTTTGACTCAGTCCTGCAGGAAAGTCCTGGAGCCAGTGCAGATCATACTTCAGAGTGCTGATTGATGGGGCAGGAAACATTCTCACACATGTCAGTCATTGCTAAGGGCCACATCCAGAAGGTTGTAAATTCCCAGGAACTTCTGGCTTTCCTTGCTCAGGCAGCTGAAAGGCAGTCCTCCGTCAGAGAGATTGGTTGTTGGCAGAGAAAGCACACTGGGCTCCAGGGTATACAAAAATGACAAAGGGGGCCAGGTGTAGTGGCTCATGCCTGTAATCCTAGCACTATGGGAGGCCAAAGTGGGTAGATCACCTGAGGTCAGGAGTTCAAGACCAGCCTGGCCAACATGGTGAAATGCCATCTCTACTAAAAATGCAAAAAAGGCCGGGCGCGGTGGCTCAAGCCTGTAATCCCAGCACTTTGGGAGGCCCAGGAGGGTGGATCACGAGGTCAAGAGATCGAGACCATCCTGGTCAACATGGTGAAACCCCGTCTCTACTAATGGTGCAAAAAATTAGCTGAGCATGGTGGCGCGTGCCTGTAATCCCAGCTACTCCGGAGGCTGAGGCAGAAGAATTGCCTGAACCCAGGAGGCGGAGGTTGCGGCGAGCCGAGATCGCGCCATTGCACTCCAGCCTGGGTAACAAGAGCGAAACTCCGTCTCAAAAAAAAAAAAAAAAAAAATGCAAAAAAAAAATTGGCTGGGTGTGGTGGCAGGTACCTGTAATCCCTGCTACTTGGGAGGCTGAGGCAGGAGAATCACTTGAACTCAGCAGGCAGAGGTTGCAGTGAGCCAAATCAATGCCTTTGCACTCCAGGCTGGGAAATACGAACAAAACTCTGTCTCAAAAAAATAAAACTAAAAATAAAAAAAGACAAAGGGATCCAAGGAGATAAGGGGGAAGCACTGACAGTGTCCACTACAGGACCCAAGAAGCAATTTATGTGTTGGTTTTATGAAATGTATAGCCAAAAACATTCCACTGCAATAAAATGCTCCAAATGAGGTAATAAAAAAACTCAATCCTGTAAAACACTTTAATAATTACAAAACAAGGGATTATTTCTTTCATATATACAGCAAAAATATATTCCCCTTGAATGACATAAATTTTGTTATATCTTGAAAAAGAGAAATGTTAACCCTGATTCTCTGTTATGGAATTGAATGTTGACAGATAAGCCAACTTTGAGCTGAAATCTAAACCAGTCAATGGTATATAGATTCACCCTGTCTCCAGATCTGCATTTTCTGATATGAGTTGATATAAGAACAAACCATCAAAAAGATATTTTAATACCTCTTTTATGAGATTTCAAGAGGAAACTGTTAAGTGTATATATCAAAATACAAAGTTAACTCCCACTCTGCAAGAAAATACTAAGTAGCTAAAGAGAAGCACTGAAAACTCCTGAAACATGCTTACCTGATGATTCTTCCCGTGAGCACACCAGTTCTAGTTCTAAATAGGGGATATTTAGAGGGGACTGTGAGAAGCTTTAGGGGATGGTGGTGGTGGTAGAATTTCAACATAATTTCTAAAATGTGTTATTTCCTTCACAGAGTTTACAGATTGTCTTTTAATTTCTAAAAATGTTTTGTGTTCTTTGATGAAAATGGTAACATTTTAGACTGTGTGCAATTGTGTGTGAATGTTCAATATTATAATAAGATGTGTTATATTTGTGCAATTTATGCAATGTCTTTATTCTAAAATGCCAAAACCTTTTATTGAAATAATGTTTTTCATGCTTAGCTAATTTTTGATGCAATTTCTAAATTTTATAGATTTATAGAAATTGAGAAGTTATTAACTACATTAATTGTATAGTATGCATTAGATAATCACTTAAAAGGAAAATATATTTGTCTATTGCTTTTTAGTAATTTTTACTCAAAATTTTATCTTTTAGTAATAAAATTTTTCTTTTTAAAAAATTTTAGTTATACATGGAATATTCCAGTTAAATGGACTGAAGATAATATATCAAGCAGTGTGTTATTTAATAGGTCAGAAAAAGAAGGTAAATATTATTAATTAATTTATTTATTCTTTGAATTTATGTACCACATTAAACTAATATAAGTACAAAGATGCAACAGTAAAGCTGGAACTTTTGTAAACTCCAGCTAAGTGATCACTTAAATAATTCATGATTCCAAATCTTCATCTACAATGACAACTTTTCTACCTTGAGATATTCTTTTTAATGATTTATCATGATTGACACAATAATAAATACCCATATCCAAAGAAGAGTCACTTGCCCAATCATTGGAAGATCAATATGTAAGTTTCCTCCCTCCCTCCCTCCCTCCCTCCCTCCCTCCCTCTCTCCCTTCCTCCCTCCCTCCTTTCTCCTTCCATCCCTTTCTTCTTCCCTCCCTCCCTTCCTTCCTTCCTTTTTTTTTCTTGATATCAGATAAGTAAGCCATTGAATTTCTTACACTGTTATGTGATAAGCCTGAGGGTTTTTTTTAATGCTCCCATTAAATTAGACCATTTTTTGAAATATATTTGTGTTCTATCTCCATTTATTTATTTTTTCCTTACTTGAAAAATGTCAGAGTTATATAAAAACAAGTAGACCTTATCCAGATTGAGGAAAAAATAATAGATAAGGCAAGTTTTAGCAGCAATCCCAGAAGAATCTTTCTTTTTTACATATTTTTTTCATTGTACTTGTTTTGGTGTTTAAAAACTATTTCTTTCTAAGACAAACCAGACTCATCTTTGCCCCATTTCATGAGGACTTGGTTTCAGACTAGCAATTGGTATGGACTTTTCACTTGTGTCTTCTTGAGAATAAAAGTAGATTACTCATTCTTTATTTACATTTGCCTAGTTGCTCCTATAAAATATTTTAAAATATTAATGAGGTTTGATTTCTCCTGGCCAATAAATTTTTACTCTCTTTACAGTAGATTGCCTTTCAAGAATAGCTTTACTGAGACGTAATTCCCATACCATAAAATTCACCCATTTAAAGTGCACAGTCCAATGGTTTTTAGTATATTCACAGATATGTGCAACCATCACCACAGTCAGTTTTAGAAACCCCATACCCTTCAGCTATCATGCCTGCAGCCTCCCATACATCCAGCCCTAAGAAACCACTAATGTGTTCCCTACCTCTATAGGTTTACCTCTTCTGGTCATTTCACATAAATAAAAGTGTATATGCAGTAATTTTGGGGACTTTTCAATTAGCATAATGTTTTCAAGGCTCATCTATGATATAGCATGTATCAGTACTTCATTCTTTTCTATTGCCAAATCATATCCCATGATATGGATATACCACCATTTGTTTATCCATTTATCAGCTGATAGATATTTGGATCATTTCTACCTTTTGTCTATTATGAAAAATGCTGCTGTAAACATTTGTGTATAAGTTTTTCTGTGAATCCAGCAGGTTTTTTCAACCTTCGGGCCTTTTAAGAAAATGTTAATTGGCCAGGCCCAGTGGCTCACGCATGTAATCCCAGCACTTTGGGAGGCCGAGGTGGGTGGATGACGAGGTCAAGAGATCGAGACCATCCTGGTCAACATGGTGAAACCCCGTCTCTACTAAAAATACAAAAAATTAGCTGGGCATGGTGGCGCATGCCTGTAATCCCAGCTACTCAGGAAGCTGAGGCAGGAGAATTGCCTGAACCCAGGAGGTGGAGGTTGCAGTGAGCCGGTATCACACCATTGCTCTCCAGCCTGGGCAACAAGAGCAAAACTCTGTCTCAAAAAAAAAAAAAAAAAAAAAAAAAGAAATGAAAACGTTAATTGTTAACTGTTTTTGTGATTTTTTTTATTATTACTACAAACTACCAGCTTTGTTATTATAGAGGTAAAACTCCTTCTGAAGCCCTTCTGCACAGGGATTGCGATTAAACTTTCTCTTGCTTATTTATTTTAATAATTATTGTAACATTGTGGTCAAAAAAAATTCTCAATTTTTCCAGAATTCCCAGATCAATGCCACTTGGTCTTGGTATTTCATGCTATGTATGAGTACCAACCTCTATTTTTTGTGGTCTTCCGACCATTTTCTTATTCATAAGTATATTTGCCAAAGAAAAATAGAGAAGACAGAAAAAAAAAAAAGATGTTTTTAACAATGTGTAATGGCACTGATAAAAGGCACAATAAGGTTAGAATTCCAGTGGAAGGTTTTCAGTGGATTTGATTTAACTATTACTAAGTATTTTCCTCATTGGTCACCATGGTTAATTGAGAATTGGAAGAATGTCTCGGCAGCTGTTTGATTTACTGTTTACATGTTTGAAAGCATGAATAATTCATCTACCCTAATACAATTCACCCAGCACTTTCATGGAATGAAGTTTCCATACAAGTGAATTTTTCAGATAACTAAAGCTTACTCGAGTACTTTGTAAAATACATTTCAAGAGTTCACAATAGACATTGTTCTACTATGTGTTATGTACTTCTTAGAATGTTTGGAATAATGAATTTAATTCTTACTTATTAAATTAATTCTTTCAAGCACGTATTGCTTACAAGCCAGACATAGAGGTAAGAATGGAGATAGTGCTGGGCAAAAAAAAAAAAAAAAAAAAAAAAATGCAATCGTAACCCTTGTGTAGACGATTGTCTAGGGATGGGTTTGATGGCAGATATAATGCTGTGTCCTAAGTGCCTGTGTGGCAATGCAGATCACCAAAAGCACTCATAAAATCATCAGCCTAGGTTTGGGGTTCAGGAAGCAATTCTAAAAAATATCTGGGCTGAGAGTTCAGAGGCTAAAGGTAGAGTTTAAACAGGTGATAGAATTGACTGGATGTAGCGGGGTCCTGTGCTCTGAACAGAATGCATGACTGTGAAAGTGAAAGAGCAGGGAGTTCTCATACTCCTTCATATCCCTTTGTTAATATATTTCACACAGTTTTTTTTTTTTTTTTTTTTTTGAGACAGAGTTTTGCTCTTGTTGTCCAGGCTGAAGTGCACTGGTGCAATCTCAGCTCACTGTAATCTCTGCCTTCTGGTTTCAAGCGATTCTCCTGCCTCAGCCTCCCAAGTAGCTGGGATTACAGGTGCCTGCCACCATGCTCGGCTAATTTTTGTACTTTTAGTAGAGACAAGTTTCACCATGTTGGCCAGGCTGGTCTTGAACTCCTGACCTTGTGATCTGCCTGCCTTGGCCTCCCAAAGTGCTGGGCTTACAGGGAAGAGCCACCACACCCAGCCAACATTTCACACATTTTTGTTCTAACTATTGACCTATCTGTGTATCTGTGTCTCCCCTCCCCACAGAATATTCTTTGAGGAAATGGAACTTATTCATTGTCGTTATTGTTCTAGATCTCATAGCAGTCATCTAATAATTGTTAAGAGTGACTAAACAAATAAATGAAGAGGCTGATAGTCACAGAGCTTTGATGACATATATGCCTTTATCTGAAACTTCAGAATCATGACTGGTCACTGAGCCAGAAGCAAACTAGAGGTCTTTTTCTACTTCAAAGTGCCTGCTCCATTTTTAGGCGATGCAATAAGTTCCTGTTTCCTGTTTGAGGACATCTTCAGCTCTCAACTCAGAGCATGGATGACGAACATGTCCTGAGTGTACTAAATGGGCAACCAGCTCATGTTACCAGTCCTACCTCCCTCCTCTTGGTTTCTTTGATGATTCATGAGTTAGAAATTCTTCAGGCAATAGTGGGACTCTCCCCAAGGTCTTTTATTTACATTTCTATTGTATGTGCTATTTTAGGCATTAAAACAATAAGTAAATTCATAATTTCTAACAAAAGAAGAGAAGCTCTATCACAAAACCTTTTCTGGCTACTCCAAATACCCTGAATAATCTCTCCTGTCATTATCTGTAGTATATATTATGCTGTCAGTTTCATCAGTCGTTATTCCTAGTTATTATTTTGTATTTTAAACAAAATCTTCATATGCTCTTATTAAGCTTCATATGCTCTCTCTTCTTATTCTCAACTAGGTTATAAGCTTCTTGATGACACAAACTAAACATATTTCTTGTGCCCTGTCTACTCTATTATCAACAAGGTGCTACGAATATCCTGAGTTCAGAAAGTCCTCGTTTCATGAAGGTTGTTTGCCCCAAACTGCTGTACTTTTAGAGGTTAACTGCATATATTTTAGTTATGTCTCTATCTTTTAGTATCAGCTGCTATTTTGGCTATTGTCAGTGCATCTACATTTAGCAGCATACTACCTTTTCTTTTTTTTTTTTTTTTGAGATGGAGTCTTGCTCTGTCACCCAGGCTGGAGTGCAGTGGTGCAACCTCGGCTCACTGCAACCTCCACCTCCTGGGTTCAAGTGATTCTTCTGCCTCAGCCTCCTGAGTAGCTGGGACCTCAGGCATGCGCCACAATGCCCAGCTAATTTTTGCATTTTTAGTAAACACAGGGTTTCACCATATTGGCCAGGCTGGTCTCGAACTCCTGATCTCGTGATCCGCCCACCTTGGCCTCCCAAAGTTCTGGGATTACAGGCACCTTTTTGCATTTAATTTACTGCTTTCTAACATTTAAAACGATTGAAGGTTGTCATATGGTATCAGGTAACCAATCTGGCTAAAACATAATATTTTAAAAGAGACATTTCTAAGTTCATAGGATCTGGGAGAGGTCTAAGGTCTGGGAACGGGTGTAGACTCTGTGATAGCTGTTTCTGCAACTTTTACTTTCAGATTTGAGGGTGTCCTATGGATGGTTTGGACCAGGCGTCCCCAAACTATGGCTCATGGGCTGCATGCGGCCCCCTGAGGCCATTTATCTGGCCCCCCGCCACACTTCGGGAAGGGGCACCTCTTTCATTGGTGGTCAGTGAGAGGAGCACAGTATGTGGTGGCCCTCCAACGGTCCGAGGGACAGTGAACTGGCCCCCTGTGTGAAAAGTTTGGGGATGCCTCGTTTGGACTATCCAGACTGTCCAGTCAGTTTTTATCATAGAAATAGGATTTACTAAACATCTATGATAGTTATATCCAAATATTTAATACCAAAATAATGATGGGCATATATTTTTGTATT